AGCAGCAGAAGTGAAGGGAACAGTAGGGAGATAGGAAGGGTGATATTGCTAGTCAAAACAGTGGGACAAAGACCCCAAAGACATTTCAGAGATCATTGAGTAGGTTGTCCCTCCCATTCCCAGTTCAGAGCAGGGCCTTGAGGGCAGAGTTTCTAGAGAAGTGCCCACCAGACCTCAGCATTTGCTGCCCAGGGCCACCTCAGGACCCTGTTCCCCATGTTTTTGTGCAGAGTTCCTTGGCTGCTCCAACTATGGCTCAAGTGAGCCCATGTGCAGCTCATGCCTCTGCTCTGGAGGGCACGAGGGTAAGCCTTGGCAGCACGCACATGGTGTTGACTCTGCAGAAGTGCTGAGTGCATGAGTTATGGGGCCATGGTAGCATCTCCCTAGATTTTAAAGGATGTATCAGCGAGTCCGGGGCCCAGGCAGAGACTTGTTGCAGAGGCAGAGCCACTGCAGAGAGCCTTCACTAGGGCAATGTTTCACAGTGGAGCCGTGGAAACAAGAATCCTGCAGAGTCTCGACTAGGGCAGTGCCTGGTGGAACTGTGGGAGTGGAACCACCACTGGGACCCCAGAGCTGTAGAGCTACCAGCATACAGTGCCAACCTGGGAAAGCTGCAGGCATGAGACTCTAACCTGAGACAGCTGAAACATGTGCTGAGCCCAACAAAGCCATAGGGGCAGGGCTGCCTGAGGCCTTGGGGGCCCAACCCCTGTCCTAGTGTACCCAAGATTCAGGACGTGGAATCAAAGGTCGTTATTCTACACCTTTAAGACTTAATGTGGTTTTCTCTGTTGGGTTTTGGACTTACTTGGGACCACTTTCTTCTTACCTATTTCTCCCTCTTAGAATGGGAATGTCTATCCTATGTCTGTCCCACGGTGTTAGTCCATTCTTTCACTGCTATAAAGAAATACCAGGGACTGAGCAATTTATAGACAAAAGAGGTTAATTGGCTTATGGTTCTGCAGGCTGTACAGGAAGCATAGTGCTGGCATCTGCTCAGCTTCTGTGGAGGCCTCAGAAAACTTTCAATCGTGGCAGAAGGTGAAGGGGAAGCAGGTATGTCTTATATGGCTGGAGCAGGAGGAAGACACAGGGGAGGTACTACACACTTTTAAACAACCAGATCTCATGAGAACTCACCATCATGAGAAGAGCGTGGAGGGGATGTTGTTAAACCATTCATAAAGGATCCACCCCAATAGTCCAGTCACTTCCCACCAGGCCCCACCTCTAACCCTGGGGTTTACGATTCAACAGGAAATTTGGGCAGGGACACATACCCAAACCACATCACCCAGCATTGTATTTTGTAAGTAAACCACTTGTTTAATTTTAATCTGTTTCTTCACAACTGGAGGAAAATTTGCCTCAAGGTGAATTATGCCTTGAGTCCCATTCATATATAATTCAGATGGGACTGGACTTTGGATCTTTGAGTCGACACTGGAACAATTTAAGAATTTTCAGTCATGAAGTCCTTGCTTATGCCTATGTCTTGAATGGTATTGCTAGGTTTTCTTCTAGAGTTTTTATGGTGTTAGGTCTTATGTTTAAATCTTTAATCCATCTGGAGTTAATTTTTTACAAGGTGTAAGGAAGGGGTTCAGTTTCAGCTTTCTGCACATGGCTAGCCAGTTTTCCCAACACCATTTATTAAACAGGGAATCCTTTCCCCATTGCTTGTTTTTGTCCAGTTTGTCAAAGATCAGATGGTTTTAGATGTGTGGCGTTACTTCCAAGGCCTCTGTTCTGTTCCTTTGGTCTATATCTCTGCTTTGGTACCAGTACCATGCTGTTTTGATTACTGTAGCCTTGTAGTATACTTTGAAGTCAGGTAGTGTGATGTCTCCAGCTTTGTTCTTTTTGCTTAGGATTGTCTTGGCTATGCAGGCTCTTTTTTGATTCCATATGAAGTTTAAGGTGGTTTTTTCCAGTTCTATGAAGAAGGTCAATGGTAGCTTCATGGGGATAGCATTTAATCTATAAATTACTTTGGACAGTATGGCCATTTTCCCGATATTGATTCTTCCTAACCAGGAGCATGGAATGTTTTTCCGTCTGTTTGTGTCCTCTCTTATTTCCTTGAGCAGTGGTTTGTAGTCCTCCTTGAAGAGGTCCTTCACGTCCTTTGTTAGTTGTATTCCTCCATATTTTATTCTCTTTGTAGCAATTGTGAATGGGAGTTTACTCATGGTTTGGCTCTTTGTTTGTCTGTTATTGGTGTATAGGAACGCTTGTGATTTTTGCACATTGATTTTGTATCCTGAGACTTTGCTAATGTTGCTTATCATCTTAAGGAGATTTTGGGCTGAGACGATGGGGTCTTCTAAATATACAATCATGTCCTGCAAATAGAGACAATCTGACTTCCTCTTTTCCTAACTGAATACCTTTTATTTCTTTTTCTTGCCTGATTTCTCTGGCTAGAACTTCCAATACTATGTTGAATAGGAATGGTGAGAGAGGGCACCCTTGTCTAAAGCCAGCTTTCAAAGGGAATGCTTCCACTTTTTGCCCATTCAGTATGATATTGGCTGTGGGGTTGTCATAAATAGCTTTTATTATTTTGAGATATGTTCCATTGATACCTAGTTTATTAAGAGTTTTTAGCATAAAGGGCTGTTGAATTTTGTCAAAGGCCTTCTCTGCATATATTGAGATAATTGTGTGGTTTTTCTCTTTGGTTCTGTTTATGTGATGGATTACGTTTATAGATTTGTGTATGTTGAACCAGCCTTGCATCCCTGGGACGAAGCCTACTTGATCATGATGGATAAGCTTTTTGATGTGCAAAAGCCAAAATAGACAAATGAAATCTAATTAAACTTAAGAGCTTCTGCACAGCAAAAGAAACAATCATTAGAGCAAACAAAATGGTGCAAGCTACCCATCTGACAAAGGGCTAATATCCAGAATCTACAAAGAGCTAAAACAAATATACAAGGAAAAAACAAACAACCCCATCAAAAAGTAGGTGAAAGATATGAACACTTTTCAAACAAAGACATTTATGTGGCCAAGAAACATATGAAAAAATGCTCATCATCACTGGTCATTAGAGAAATGCAAATCAAAACCACACTGAGATACCATCTCACACCAGTTTGAATGGTGATCATTAAAACATCTGGAGACAACAGATGCTGGAGAGGATGTGGAGAAATAGGAACACTTTTATACTGTTGGTGGGAGTGTAAACTAATTCAATCATTGTGGAAGACAGTGTGGCAATTCCTCAAGGATCTAGAACCAGAAATACCATCTGACCCAGTAATCCCATTACTGGGTATATACCCAAAGGATTATAAATCGGTATATTATAAAGACACATACATACATATGTTCATTGTGGCACTGTTTACAACAGCAAAGACTTGGAACCAACCCAAATGCCCATCAAAGATAGACTAGATAAAGAAAATATGGCACATATACACCATGGAATACTATGCAGCCATAAAAAAGGATGAGTTCATGTCCTTTGCAGAGACATGGATGAATCTGGAAACCATCATTCTCAGCATACTGACACAAGAACAGAAAACCAAACACTGCATGTTCTCACTCGTAAGTGGGTGTTGAACAATAATACGTGGAACAGGGAGGGGAACATCACACACTGGGGTCTGTTTGGGGGGTGGGAGGCTTGGGGAGGGATAGCAGGACGTGAGGAGATTGGGGAGGTATAACATTAGGACAAATATCTAATGTAGGTGTCGTGGGGATGGAGGCAGTAAACCACCATGGCATGTGTATACCTATGTAACAGTCCTGCAGGATCTGCTTATGTACCCCAGAACTTAAAGTAAATTTTTTTTAAAAAAAGAAAAATATACAGAAAAAGTAGAAAAAAAAGAATTTTTGGGCCACTGCAATGGAATAAATGTATTTTTGCATTGTGAGGACATGAATTTTGGGGGCCAGAGTAGAATGTCATGGTTTGAATGTGTCCCCTAATGTTCATGTGTTGGAAACTTAATTCCCAATGGAACAGTGTTGGGAGGTGGGACATAATAATAACTGATGAGATTGGCCAGGCGTGGTGGCTTATACCTGTAATCCCAGCACTTTGGGAGGCCAAGGCAGGCGGATCATGAGGTCAGGAGTTCAAGACCAGCCTGGCCAAGGTGGTGAAACCCCATCTCTACTAATAATACAAAAATTAGCCAGGCATGGTGGCACATGCCTGTAGTCCCAGCTACTTAGGAGGCTGAAGCAGGAGAATTGCTTGAACCCGAGAGGTGGAGGTTGCAATGAGCTGAGATCGTGCCACTTCACTCCAGCCTGGGTGATAGAGCAAGACTCCATCTCAAAAAAAAAAAAAAAAAAGAAGTGATTAGGTCATGAGGGCTCTACCCTCATTAATAGATTAATGTCATTATCTCAGGAGTGGGTTAGTTATTGCAAGAGTCGCTATGTTATAAAAGCAAGTTTGGTTCTTCCTGTTCCCTCACTCATACACTCTCTTGTCCTTCTGCCTTCCATTATGGCATGATGCAGTGTGAAGGCCCTCATCAGATGCTGGCTCCATGTTCTCGGACTTCCCAGTTTCCAGTACCATGAGCCAAACAAATTTCTGTTTATTATGAATTACCTAGTCTGTGGTATTCTGTTAAAGCAACGTAAAACAGACTAGGACACTGCCTGTTTCAAAACCTCCAATGGCTTCCAGTTGCATTATGTATATTGTCCAAGCTCTTTCCTTTGACCTAATAAGATAGAGCAGCCCCTACCAAAATATCTGATCTTATCCTATACTATGTTGTTTGTTTGAGATGCTTCCAGCTATAATTTTTTTCTCTCTTCATGGCCTTTGCACCCTGTGTAAAATGTTCTCTCATCATCTTTCTTGTCATCCACGTCTCAGCTCTAGGGTCAGCTCCTCAGAGAGGCTTTCCCTGGTCATCCCAACTAAGTAGCCCCCTACTCTGATCAGTATCTCATCACATCACCCTGGTTTTGTTTTTCTTTTATTTGTTTTGAAGGAGGGGGGTGGTTCACTCAAGACCTGGGCTGTGACCAGGTCAAATGCCTGCTTTATTCAACAGGAAATGCCCAAGTGGGACCCATCCCCACCTTTCACAGTGTAAAGTGAACAGGGAGCAAGGCAAGAAGCTAGAAAAATAACATATGGATCCAGACGATGCAGAAAGACCCTGCTAAGTCAGCTTAAGGCCAAGACTGGTCAGCATGAGAGAACAAAAGAGGTGACAGAAAAGCCTTGGGCAGCCTGAGCCACGATGGGCCTAGTGGAAGTAGTTGGGACATTCATGGGGAAACAAATCCCAGGCTTGATTAAAGGTCTCCACAACAGCTGCCTCCACGGGCCCTTCCTCTGCCACTGCCAAGTTCTACTCCAGCTGCTCCAGGCTGGATGTGCCCAGGATGACCATGTCCCTGTGGGCACCCTGCAGCTGTGAATGGTGGTACATCCACTGGAGGGTGTCTGAGGTCATGCTGGGGGCACTGGCACCATATGCAGCCTGCATGGCCTTCTCTACCAGGGCAGTGGCCTCTAAGTGATGCTCCTTCCAGAAGCGATTCCTGTAGGTCTCAGCCCAGCTATTCACAAAGAAGCGACCCACGGGCTGTTTCCTGTCCTTGTTCTCATACTGGTACTTGCTGGTCAGCAGGCTCCCAGCCAGAGGCTTGTAGGTGTAAAACCTCAGTCCAAAGTGCCTGAGGCAGGGGAAGAGCTCCGTTTCCACCTGCCGGGTGGTGGCATTGTACAACCCTGGTACACAGTGAGCAGGATCTAGCCACTGCTCTTGCAGAGGGTACAGATCTTGACCACTTCCCAGGTGGCATAGTTGGAGAGGCCAAGCTCAACGAACTTTCTCTTCTGGTGCAGCTGGTGGCAGGCACACAGGGTCTCTTCCGTTGTGATGCCGTGGTCAGGTGCATGTAGGTAGAAGAGGTTCACTCGGAGACACTGCAGCTTCTTCAATGACGTTTCCAGTTGGGACCGTATACTGTCAGGCTTTAGTGATTTTCTATCCCAAGGGTTGGCCTTGGTGACAAATTTCACTCTGCAGTCATTGCTGCCCAGTCCCAGCCCCAGGCCACCCAGGATGGTCTCAGACTGTACATGAAGGCCATGTCTGGCTCAGTGTGGCTGCACTCCAGGAAGGTGTGCACTGCTGCGGCGCTAGCAGACATATCCATGCAGCGCCCCATCTCCATGGTGCCCAGAACCATAACGGGCCAGGCCGGGACACCCAAGGTGGCCTGCAGTGGTGGTGGACAGGACATGGCAAGCACGCGGGCCTCGGGTGGCAGGGAGCAACATGTGCAGTGGACGGCAACATGGGGCATAGTGCAAGACGTGGTGTTCAGCATGGCTGTGGTGCCTGCCCATCATCCTGTTTTATTTTCTCCCTACCACTAATATTATCTGAAATTGTCTGTCCATTTATTGTTTTGCTTATTATGATATACAATACCACTAGAATATAAATTTCATGAGATGGCAACCTTATTTGCCTTGGTCCTGCTGAATGTCTAGCAACTAGCATGGTACTTAGTAAGTGCTCAGTGGATATTTGTTGAATGAGTGAGTCAGGATATGGATGGGAGTTGTTGAAACCATGGGAAATATATGATCATATGATCACCTTAAGGAGAGCCTGAAGAGTTAAATGTGGTTTGTAAAGGAACGAGCAGAGGAAAGAATGCCTACAAAGCAATTTGGAGGAACAACCAGGGTGGTAGGAGGAGAAACAGGAAAGTGTGATGTTACAGAAGGCAAGCCTACTTTTCTCCCCAGAAGCAACCAGTGCTAACAGATGGGTGGGTATCCTTCCAAATCATGTTCTATATATTTACATACATTCACAAATGTTTATATTACGTGCATATGTAGTTTTGGTTTTTATATAAATGAGCTCATAGTACATGTATTATTCTATCACTTGCTTTTTAAAAAAATAACAGCTTTATTGAGCTATAATTTGCACATTACACAATTCACACATTTAAAGTGTACAGTTCAGTTGTTTTTAGTATATTCATGAATGTGTGCAACCACTGCCATAGTCAATTTTTAGAACATTTTCATCACCCCAGAAAGAAACCCTGTATCCTTTAGCTATTGCCTCCTTCCTTATCCCTCAACCCTTAACAACCACTAATCTACTTTCAGTCGCTATAGATTTCCCTATTCTGGACTTTCCTATTAATGGAAGAATATGTGATCTTTGTGACTGGCTTATTTTACATAGCACAGTGTTTTCAAGGTTCATCTATGTTGTAGCACGACTCAGAACTTCATTCTTTTTATTGCTGAATAAAATTGCCTTTAGAGGCCAGGCATGGTGGTACATACCTGTAATCTCAGCACTTTGGGAGGCTGAGGCAGGTGGATCACTTGAGCTCAGGAGTTCAAGACCAACCTGGGCAACATGGCAAAACCCTGTCTCTATAAAATACAAAAAATTACCTGGATATATCCCAGCTACCCAGGAGGCTGAGGTGGGAGGATTGCTTGAGCCTGAAAGGTCAAGGATGAAGTGAGCCATGATTGTGCTACTGCATTCCTGCCTGGGCAATAGGCAAAAAACAAAACAAAAAAAAACAACAACAACCCAGAACTTGCTCTTGGTATATCCATTGTGTGGATATACTACATTTTGTTTATCCATTCATCATTTGGACACTTGGGTAGTTCCTACTTTTTGGCTATTATAAATAACATGGCGATGAGTATTCATGTTCCAGTTTTTGTGTGGACAGATATTTTCATGTCTTTGGGTATGCATCTAGGAGTAGAATTGCTGAGTCATATGGTAACTCTATGTTTAACATTTTGAGGAACTCCTGGATTGTTTTTCAAAGTGGCTAATCCATTTTACTTTTCCACCAGCAGTACATGAGGCTTCCAGTTTCTCCACATCTTTGCCAACACTTGTTAGTATCTGTCCTTTTGATTATAGCCATACTGGGGGTGTGATATCACTTGCTTTTTTATTTAATGTGTATGGAATATTTTTCTGTACCAGCATGTATAGATATCTTACTTTTTTTTTTTTTTTTTTTGAGATGACATCTCACTCTCGCTCTGTAGCCCAGGCTGGAATGCAGTGGCATGATCTCAGCTCACTGCAACCTCCACCTCCCGGGTTCAAGTGATTCTCCTGCCTCAGCCTCCCAATCCTGCCTGGGATTACAGGCACCCACTACCATGCCTGGTGAATTTTTGTATTTTTAATAGAGACAGGGTCTTGCCATGTTAGCCAGGCTGGTTTCAAACTCCTGACCTCAGATGATCCACCCACCTTGGCCTCCCAAAGTGCTGGGATTACAGGCATGAGCCACTGTGCCCAGCTTGTATCTTACATATTTAACTGCTGCATAATATTCCACGGAAACCATGCTTTTCAAGATGTTCCTGCCTATATCATTGTGTTATTTCTTCCACCAGGGCTTAGAAGCCTGGAAATAGAAACAGTGATGGTGGATCAACTCACTTGATCTAGATTTGGAAGTGAGAAGAATGTGGATGGTAATGGTGAGAGAGGATTTGAAATAATTTATCGACCATGTGGTGCATATCAATCTGGTGCATAAGTGACTGACAAGGAGCTGGAGTAGATGGCATAGCATAGTGGCTAGAACCATAAAAGAAGGGGTTTTCTGTGGAAGTGGAAAGATAGCTTTTTGTTTTGTTTTGCATTTACCCATTCCTTCTGTTTAGTTTTTTTTTTTTTTAACTATTGAGTTATTCACTGCTTTGCCTTCTTTTTTTTGAGACAGAGTCTCATTCTGTCACCCAGGCTGGAGTACAGTAGCGATCTTGGCTCACTGCAACCCCCTACCTCCCAGGTTCCAGCGATTCTTGTTCCTCAACCTCCCAAGTAGCTGGGATTACAGATGCCCACCACCATGCCTGGCTAATGTTTGTGTTTTTATTAGAGATGGGGTTTTACCATGTTAGCCAGGCTGGTCTTGAACTCCTGACCTCAAGTGACCTGCCCACCTTGGCCTCCCAAAGTGCTGGGATTATAGGCGTGAGCCACTGTACCTGGCCTGCTTTGCCTTCTTAAACAGATGATTCAGAACACAATATAACCTTGTCTTGTGACTCAGGTGGTCATTATGATCATCTGTTTTTGCCCTGGACCTCTGAGGCATGTAGGAATATGTCTTCCCTATGTCTTTTCCCTAAGTGTGTTCTGGATTTTTGTGCTTTTGAAGAAGTTCTGAGATCAGCGTATTCTTGGTTCTTCTAATGTATAGCTGTTTGACCAAGGACTGACTCCATGTATCTCCTATGAAGTAAAGTTCATGGGTTTTATGACAGCAATTTTTCATGCTGCTTAGATGCTTTTTCTCATCTAGGTTTTTAGTTATATTATGGCAGAGATTATAAGAAATCTGATCTCCAGAGAAGTGTTGATATTTCTTTAATTTGGCATAGACTGTTTTTGGCAAGCTAGTTTTCTAGCATTGAACAATTTAATGAATGAATAAGTTCAGAGTCACCATATCCACATTATTTTTAATGGTACAAAACTGTCTAATACAGTAGCCATTAGCTACATGTGGATTTTTAAATTTAAATATAAACTAATTAAGAGTAGGCTGGGTACAGTGGCTCATGCCTGTAATCCCAGCACTTTGGAAAGCTGAGTTGGGTGGATAATTTGAGGTCAGGAGTTCAAGACCAGCCTGGCCAACATGGTGAAACCCCGTTTCCACTAAAAA